CCCCACCCCCCAAAAAGGAACTATCAGTGTCCTCTCTCCAGGGTGACCCCGGAAAGTATATCTCTGTGTGTTTGTGTGTGATGTGCAAACGGGTATTATAACTCACTTTGGCATCAACAAAGCTAAAGAACACAATCTCTCCGTCTCTTCTTCCTCATTTGGCCATTCAGGTTTGGGTGGGCCCCGGGAGAGGGCGGGGATGTTTTTAAACTCTGAGCCGAGCTTGCGCCCGCTGCCTCGCCTCCTTAGAGGGGACGCAGAGTTCCCGGAGGCTGCTGCTGCCGCTGCCGCCCTAACCCATCTCTGGCACCCGGAAGAGTCTGGAGCCTCCAGAGGGAACCACACTAAATGTGCTGGGAGCCGCAGCCTTTCAGCAGGGGGCATTTTAAATACCCACATCCTTCTCTTGGAGAGACTAGTTCTGCAATTCAGCCTTACCCTTGGCCTTAAGCTTACCGGTATTCTTTTCTTTCTTTCTTTCTTTTTTTTTTCCCCGCAACTTTTGAATACCGAAGCCAGAATGATAAATATATATATATTTATAACAGTGTGCAGATCAGAACTAACCACCTTTAGGGTAAAAAATTAAAAAAAGTGTGCGTGTTCTAACTACTGACCTATCCCAGTTTTCCCCAAGCTTGTCCTGAGAAGCTGTGTAATGTCCTGAACCTTCTGCTTTGATCAGGAGAGAAGGGCCCCTCCTCCAGTGCCAAAGAAGCCGGCGAAGGGCCCCGCGCCGCTGATCCGGGAGCGCTCGCTGGAGAGCTCGCAGCGCCAGGAGGCCCGCAAGCGCCTGATGGCCGCCAAGCGCGCCGCGTCCGTCCGCCAGAACTCGGCCACCGAGAGCGCCGAGAGCATCGAGATCTACATCCCCGAGGCGCAGACACGGCTCTGAGCGCCGGGCCCCGCCGCGCGCCCCGCCGCGCCGCCTCCGCGCTCGGTCCTCCCTCTGCCCCCCTGCCCGCCCTCCGAGCCCGTCCGTTCCGGAGCTCAGTGACTTCCACTGTCGCGGTGTAGTTGTCGGTCTTGCAGGAGCCGTCCCCCAGTAGCCCCCGCCGCCCGGACCGGTTTGCCCATGTTATTTTCTCCACCGAGCTTCGCCACCCGTACTGACGCGTCACCCTGCCTCATCCGGAGAGCCGGCCCTTTCTTTTCTTGGCAGAACCAAACCCACCTGTGTAGAAATGGCCCCTTTAGGTCGCCCACCAGCCTCAGTTCTCCCAAGCTAGTCTGTCCCTAGAGTTCAGCAATATAAAATCATAGGGTATTTCAGAAATCCAGTATCACAGGGTGATTCTTTGGGACTTAACCGTCTTCCACGTGAAAGAAACTAGGGCTCCGATTCCCTTTATTTCCCCTAAACGGTTATTATTTTGTAAAGCAGATGGAGCACTTTATTTCCAACCTCAGAAATCACGCCATCTCACCGGAATCGATGAGTGACAATCCAAGAGGGGACCAAGTTGGGCCGGGGGTGGGGGACCTGAATGAGTAGTGGGGAAGGGAGAAGCGAAATCAGCAGGTGCTTGGGGTACCTGCTTCACTCACAGCTGCACAAACTGCCTCACTGTTATTCCATCAATCACTGCTTCAAACGTTTCAATCAGCAGAAGATTGTAAATTCGATCTTTCAGGGAAATTATTCTGAAAGGCAATAAAATGAAGAAAGGCAAGGAAGCACTGATAGTTTCAGATATACTATCTAAGGGGGATTTTCTTTTTGTCCTATTATTAAGAAAATTTAGACCTGAAATGTTTTATCAACTTTTATTGTACTATGTGTATTATATTGTTATTGTGGTGGGGGTCTTTAAAGGGGAAAGTGTTGGTCCTCTTAATTTGTTAGTGTCCATCCTGGGGGGCCTACATAATTACACATATATAAGTACACATCTGCTTAAGAAGTCCTGTAAATGGCAGCTAGGATGTTTTCAGAGAGAAGTTTGGATTTTCCCATCCTCCCTTTGAATGCTATACATCCATCTCTTGTAACCCAGTAGTTCGTAATGCCAGACATATTTTCTCCTTTGGTCTTCTCTCACTACTATCCAGAGCCCTATCACACCCCAGCATAAGGATTGTGTCCTATGTCAAACCGATAAAATCAATTTCCTACCCAAGTAGATATGCAGCCTCATTCCAAAGAGCTGCCCCTCATCTTGAGGTCCCAGGTAGTGAGAGAAGAAATTTGGCCTGAAATGTTCAGCAACCACCAGGAAGGGGGGAAAAGTCATGATCCACAAGCACGGAAAGAAACCCAGGCTTTTGGCGGAGAATGTGCATTGACGCTTTTAGTCATGACGGATGGGCAGTGTGCACTTTGCATCTAGCTGAAGTTATCTTTAAATGCCCTTACTCGTAGCAGTTTAAACATTTAGGATGTGGTGATCTTAAAGTATCACTGGCATTTTATGCCCAGCTCCCACCCCAAAGCATTATAAATTATCATTTAAAACTGACAGACTAAAAACACACATCTAATAAGCTTGCACCAGAGCTCTTTTAAAAAATACACTCTCGTAGCCAGGTGCTAATTTAATTTTATTTATGAAATTAAGAGAGGTGATGGGTTCTGGCAACAACTATTTTCACGGACATATTCTAAAACCATTAGGGAATTCGCTACCTCTCAGAGCCATTGATGCTTTGAGCTATCTTTATAAACAGGGCACAAATGTTTACTGCTGTGGTTTACAAGAAAAGGGCTACTAACTTATTTAAAAACCAACCAACCAACTTTTAACTAGAGTGAACAAAGCACCTCGAGTGCTTTGCACAATTGGAGCTTACAGAGATTTTGAACTTCAAGTGTCCACTTGTGTTAAAAAGAATCTACCTTTTCTTTGCTTTGTAGCAGCGATGGAAGGTCACACAAAGTTTGCCTCAAGTAAGGCCAACTGCCGCCTTGGGTAGCCTCTAATCACATTCAATCCCGAAAATGACTTGGCACTCATAGATTAACGCGAAGAAAGCGACATCCGCTGGAAGACCCAGGTTCCCAACTACAGCTCCCTGCCCTGAAGTAGAGATGAGATTGGGATTAAGAAATAGATTTCTAATACGATTCAAGATCATCCTACACTATTTTCTTTGGAAACTGGTTTAGCCCAGGATATTTTAAAGAGAGACAAGAGAAGGCCTATTTATCTTGTCTATGTGAATGGTATTTGTATATTCATAAGCTATTTTTGGTAAGAATTTTAAATCTTTTAGCTGAATGCCTACAGGCATCATGACCTTTGCCTTCCTTAAAAACACAAATTGTACAAACACTTTATAAAAAGCTAATTATTGATCTTAAAACATGACCCCACATAAAACTGCTTGTTAACCACTTGCCCCCTTAAGCTGACATCCATGAGCATAACCTTTGTTACATTGTTCTTTTTGATGTATTTGTAGAAATGTTTTTTAGTTCATAATGGAAAATGTATGTACCCTGAAAAATTACTTATTTTGTTTAACTTTGGTATAAAGCTGTTTGGGCATTTTCTTGGGGAGGGGGAGATTACAAAAGAAGTTTGTCTCCCGCATCAAAAAACGTTCAAAGAAATTAAGTATTTATTATATTTTTTGCAGATGTTTCCATACAATTCACATAACCTTTTTGTAAAGAGAGATGAAGAAATGGATTAAAGATTTTTAATATTTGAAATGGTAAATAGAACTAATTTATTTGTAATATATTTCTGTTATTTATAGATGTTTCCTTAATGTTTTACTGTGCATTACCACTTTAATTTAAGCCTTATCCTTGTGAATTTACCATTTCTTTTTTAAAACATGTCTAGATGCATATTTTAAATAACTGGAATGTAAATCACTAGCATATCTGAATTCCCGTTGTAATTTTTAAAAATTATTTTGGTTTGGGAAAAAAAGATTCATTTGAAAGCCTTCAGATGGAGGGGTGGGGAACATTTTTATGGCTTTATGAAGTGGAATTTCATAGGCTTATTTACCTAGACTGTGTGTGGACAAAAAAAAAATTGTAAATAGATGAATGTTTCCCATAATGTAAAAAGAAGAAATTAATAAAATAATAATGCACTGCTTTCAGGTCTGTGTGTTTTCACTACAAAGCCCTGCTTCTTCCAAAATATAATTGTCTTTGGAGGGAATAGTTAAGCAATTAAGAAACATATCATTCTTTCATTGTAACAACACATATGCTAGCCACTGTTGTCGGTAGACCTTGTATCCTATGTAAGGGATCAAAACATTGAAAACCAAAAGGACTTTTACTATGATGATCACATGCATATGAAAGTTTCAGGTCAGGAGCTGTATATTTCATGAAAGAAATTATTAGCCTCTCAAATATGTGCAAATTTGTGCCTATTTTACCCACTTGGATCTCTTCTCAAACATTTCATCCACTTTGTTTCCTACACAGCTCCTACACTTGAAAGATCAGAATAATGCTTTGTGGTTTATATTTCATCCCCGAAGTAATGAAAAACTATCCTCACTGAGGCTTAGTGATTTGCCCAGTGGGACACAATTATTAAGTGACAGATTTGGATCCAAAATCTAAGCCTTTGTTCAGCCTCCTCTTCAGTGGGGTCTCTGTCCTTCATCCCACATTTAAAATTGATAATGATTTGCCATTATCCATTTCCTCCGGTTTTCATCTCGGTTTCATAAACCTTACTTTATATACAAAAATACAGATTTACCCCCCAAAAGGTAAATTAGAATGTTTTATGAGAAGTGGACTTACACATCTCTGAAAATGCCAAACTCTGAAACCTGTGTCCACAGTAGTTCTTCCCCACCAAGTTCTTGGGCAAACCCATTCATGTATATGCAACAAACGTGGAAATTAAGCAGATAAGCGAACATAAGCAAGAACTTTGCCAATTTCCAAAATAACACGATGTACTTTTGAAACTGTTTCAAAAGAGGATCGATCAAGTGGCTCAATCTCTGTGAAACCACAAAGATCTCATTACCTGGGTTCATGCACTGACTATTCATGAAGTGTGAACCGAGATTACACTTCTTGCCTTTTACCAAATTAATTCTTATATTTCACAGGGGCTTCTTAAACATTTTGGCCAATCCCAAAACAAAACGAGTTTGTCTTCGCCTGTAAAACTTTGAATTTCAGTAAAGCAAATTTCAACTTCTCATGTTACAGGGTCCACTCCCCCCAAAAAATGTAATTTTATTTTTTATAGACATTGAACAAAATTGTTTGCTCTAAACATGAATTTTTTTTAGTATCTTTGAAAGCCACCCCTTGAAAATACAAATTGATTTTGGTTTAAATAAATGGCATGTTAAAAATCATAGCGTCTGAATGTGTTCATTCTCAAATGTCAGTGATACTAAAGGGTCTGAAATGTACCTGAGGTTTGCTCAATAGGCTGTTTGACTTTCAGCTGCTAAACCAAGATCAGATCAGCTCCTTTTGCAAACAGAAACTGGTGACCATGTCTGAAAACCCTCTCTGGGTCCCAACTCATTTACTGTGAGTTTACAGAGTAGGTCTTAAATTCCTCTGTAAGTCTCTCATTATCTCCCCTAAAGCAAAGAGAGGAAATTGTGTGCTGCTTCCTGGTCCATAGGCTTCCCTCCGGGCTTACTGCTGGCTTAGGGAGGCATCACCAGACACTCACAAGAATGTGAAACCCCAGTACCGGTGGTTCCTGATTCCTGGTTCTCCATTTAGCCTGCCAGTGGATTATTTCATTATGTTTCTATGTAAATGAGCACAAGCCTGAATTTATAGAAAATGGTTGAAAGCAGGAAAGCCCTCTGATAAACACCAGAAGTCAAGATCTGCCATGTAGCTGATTCAACTCGCTATTCATTGCACCCAGTGTTTTCATTAGTACGTTTGAAGACTGCCATTCTTCCTCTTCACACTTCCTTCTGGGAGAAGTAGATGCTAATTTCCTCCTTCCAGATTACTTGATACATAAAGCATTGTCACAGAGAGCTTCCACAGAGATCACAATAAAGAGATTTTTCCGTAGAAAAATTCACCTTTTCATTTTGGAAAGAGAGAAAGAGAAGCAAATAGTCATAGTTTCCTCTTCTGTTACAAAGGAGGAAAAAGCGTTCTCCCTATTGACACTAAGGAAGGTGATACACAACAATTACAGGTTTTGTAGGCTTAAATCCTGGTGCTTTCACTGCTTCTGGGGGTCAATGCTCTGCAAATAGAAAATACTCCTGCAAAGCTAGCCTTCTGAGATTTGCAGACATAGTCATCAGTTGATGAGCCCTTCCTTCTTCCGAGGGCTTTCAAATCCAATGCCTGCCAGCAATATTATTATGAAAAATGAGGAGAAACATCTGGGGAGTTAGATAATACTATATGGTTGGCCCCATAAAGTGTAGTGAAGGAAACATCTCTCCAGATTAAAATAAAAACATTTTACTAACTTTCAAAGAGGGCCCATTTGAAAGGATTTTTGGTCCTAGCGAATAACCTCTTGCTATTGAAATTTACTTCTGTAAATTAATTTTTTTTTTTGGTAATCTCTACCCCTAAGGTGGGGCTTAAACTCATGACCCTGGGATCAAAGGTCCAACTGAGCCAGCCAGATATCCCCATAAATTGCATTTTTAAAAATACCAGCTTTGTCACATCATTTCCTTTCCAGAATAAGTCCTTGGCCAATACAAGGTCTGTCTGTAACTCCCAAGTGTGAGAAGAAGCAGACCTCAAAGGCAGAACTTAAACAAAGGTAAGCAGGAGATAGGTTAAATAATTTACTCTTAGATTCCTTTCCAGTTTGATTTAATGTAACACATTGATCAACAGCCTCCCCTCTCCCCAGCACGCTCAGTGAAGAGCTTTTCTCTCCTCTAGAGCCTGGCCCCTCGCCAGAGCAGTACCTGGGAGATCTTGGTGAGCCTGGCACTTCCAATGTTGAGCTTGACAAGCATGAAAGAGCAACTCAAGGACTCCTGAATTGTTTCTTACATCAGTCAAGCAAGGCAATGAATCTGAAATGATTGAAGGACGATCCTTTCAAAAGAGCTGGTGTCTTCGTGTCCAGGCTTGAGTTGGTACACCAAGGATCCCTTGGGTAGCAGACTGTTCAAAATGAAATCTTACAGAGAAAGGAAAAAACTGATCTAGTTTGGAAAATAAGAAAAGTGAAGAGATGTTGGCACAGGAAAATGGTTTTTTTTTTTTAATTGAGTGTGAGTGAATGTTAAGCACTTTGTAAATAGCAGTAAAGTGAGGTATAATTATTCAGATAATTCTGAGTAATTCTAGAGACAAAGAAAAAAGTAAAACACCCTAACCATGCGAGCCTAAGATGTCTCAGCATTAGACTCTTCAGGATCTGCCAGCGGCTGAATTCATCATGTAGTTGTTCTCAAGGGCACTTCATTTTTTTTTTATTATTCTGTTATGTTAATCACCATACATCACATCATTAGTTTTTGGTGTAGTGTTCCATGATTCATTGTTTGCGTATAACACCCAGTGCAAGGGCACTTCATTTTAAGATAGGTTAAGAGAAGGCCAAGGACTAGCTATTCTTCCAGCAAAGGCAACACATTAGAATTGGGTTAAATATTCAACTGAGAGAACTTGGGTTAAATATTAAGGAAATGCTTACCTGAGGAAAGTACGAGGTCTTGACTACCCTGAGAACCTTAGTGCATCATCCTGAGAGAAGTTACTCTGACAATGGTGTTGCCTCATGAAAGAGGGCAAGTCCCCGCATGGCTCTTAGTATTTAAATTTGTTTATTAGGAGCACCTGGGTGGCTCAGTCAGTTAAGCATCTGCCTTCAGCTCAGGTCATGATCTCAGGGTCCTGGGATGGAGCCCGATGTGGTGCTCCCTGCTCAGCGGGGAGCCTGCGTCTCCCTCCCTCTGCCCCTCCCCCTGCTTGTGCTCTCTCATTCTCTGTCAAATAAATAAAATCTTAAAAACAAATAAATTTATTAGATAATAAATGCAGAAAAGACAGGTCTCTCACCCCCTCCACACCTCGTAATCCCTGTTGGCTTCAGCCCAAAGTTATAATTTCCAAGCAGCGTTTCTGTCAGCGACTCCAGATTCACAAGCAGAGAGGATCCAGCTGGGAGGAAACAAGGGCAGAGGGAAAGTCCCCACACCCTCCAGGGGAAAGACCCATGTGACATTTTGATTGTAATATTCTGACGTGGGGTTGGGTAGGAACATGTTGCCATAGGCTTACAGATATTTCCAGCATTTCTCTTAGAAACTAGACTGACTCTCTGATCCGCTTCAGAATTGTGCCGTGAGTGGGCCTGTCTGTCCAGCAGGGACAGGGCCATTCTGCAAGTGGGAAAGAGCTCAGGTTGTGGCCAGACCACCTGTGTTTGAATCCCGGCTCTACCACTGACAAGCTGTGTCTTTGGGGGCAAGTTACCTAACCTCTCTGTACCTCAGTTTTCCCACCTGTATGATTAGGATGAAAATAGCACTTACCTCATAAGGTTGTTCTAAGGATTAAATAAATCAACACAGGAAAAGCTCTCAGTAGGGTGCCTGGCAAATGGTAAACACTCAAAGGTTCACTCCCCTTATCACCATCATCACCATTATTATTACACATTTACATTTGCTGGGAAAGTGCCTTGTGTCCTGGCTATGTTGCTTCATATACAGTTCGCAACTTAATCTTCAAGTAACCCACAGAATGAGGTAGTCACTACAGGTAATTTACAGAGACTTTAGGGAGCGCCCCAAGGTCCTGGTAACTGACAGAGCTAGTCTTTCAATCCCATCTAACTCTAGATTCTTTGTTCATATATGTACGATTTGTGCAAGCAAAGCCATGTATCTGTCGTTTTTTTACTGGTGGAAAAGGTACACATATGAAAATTTCAAACAGAACAAAAGGGTAGACATTGAAAATAAGCCTATTTTTCGCTCCAGTTCTTTTCTGCAACATTCAACATCTTTGAACAATTTATTGTTTTTCCTTTTGAAATTTATCTATGCATACTCAAGCATATGCATTTTTTTATTTCCCCACAAACATGAAGCATACTAGACACATTCCTTTATTGTTTGCTTTCCTTCATTTAATGATGTGTTGCCTCATTTCAGAACATTATGATCCACCTATTGTCTTTATTGGCTCCATAGCATTCCATTTTATGAATCAACCATAATATGGTATTTAGTCCCGAGCTTGATGAACATTTAGGCCGTCTCCACAGCTTGCTATGGCAAAAAAAATCTGCAGTAAAAATCGTTTTACAATGTATCTTCAGTACATGTGGAAGGTGTATCTACAGGTTTTACTCCAAGACAATTGGACGTGTACTCTGTTTTTAAATATTGCTAATGAACTTTCCAAAAAGACTACCTTGATTTTCAGTTCACCAAAAATGGATGAGTTTTAGCACCTACTTTTGCAAACAAGGAAACAAATCGTTCATAAAGTGAATTCCGAGGCATGTTTAGAACAACAAAAAAAATCCCCAAATCTTCCAGTTGGCTTTCAACAAGGAAGGAAAAAAACGTCTCTGGAAATGTGGAGGTGGTTCCAATGTAATCTTTTATGTAACTCCCAGAACAAAGGTGCCAGAACTGAAGGAAAAAGTAAGCATAGCGACAGCCTTAGGGTGTGAACTCATCTGGGAATTGGATCAATTTGCATATACCTGAGATGGTAAGCCTAAGAGCCCAACAGGCTCTGACAGCATGGTCTGGGCTCACCCTGGGGCTCTGTCTGCACCGGGGCAGAGCACTTTGATGATTAGTAGGTTTATACCACAGGACATCAACTTCCGTGCAAGGAAGGGTTTTTATTCTTTAGTTTTGTTTTTTTTTTTTAAATGAAACTCCTAAAAAGGCTTTAAGATGATTTACAGAATTAAACCATAAGGCTCCAAACAATTTTTTTTTAAAGATTTTATGTATTTATTTGACAGGGAGAGAGAGAGGGAACACAAGCAAGGGGAGAGGGAGTGGGAGAGGGAGAGGGAGAAGCAGACTTCCCGCGGAGCAGGGAGCCCGATGCGGGGCTCGATTCCAGGACCCTGGGATCATGACCTGAGCTGAAGGCAGACACTTAACGACTGAGCCACTCAGGTGCCCCCTCCAAACAATTTTTTTTTTTTTAAGATTTATTTATTTATTTATTTATTTGACAGAGAGAGACACAGTGAGAGAGGGAACACAAGTAGGGGGAGAAGGAGAGGGAGAAAGCAGGCTTCCCGCCGAGCAGGGAGCCCGATGCGGGGCTCGATCCCAGGACCCTGGGATCATGACCTGAGCTGAAGGCAGATGCTTAATGACTGAGCCATCCAGGCGCCCCATCCAAACA